GGCCGTGGACAATGCACAACTGTTGGACCAAGCCGAGCTTTGAAACCGCAAGTTTCATCACGGAAGCCCCATCGGTGCACGCGAAGTAGCAGTTCCGGAGCTGTATGTTGAAGATATCGAGACGACGCTTGATGGCCTCTACAATGGCGTCTGCCGTAGCGCTCCCGCTTATTTTGATCAGACCCAAATATGCGTTTTGTCGCGAAGAGGGGTTATCGGGCTCAGAGGCTTCCACTCGAATACTGAGACTCAAGTAGCGATGGGAGCTGTTCGAGGCGGAGGCTTCGTCAAAGGACAGAGAAAACGATCCGCCTTCGTTCTGATATCTCTCCAAGTCTGAGCGCATCTTCTGACGGGCGTAGTCAGCCTCGGCCAGCACTATAGTCTTCACCGTATTTGCCGATTTTGGCGCATGCTCACCCGTGTATTCGTAGATCATATCCCGCACAAGTGCTGATTCCGCAATGGTATTGAAGGGAATGTTATTCTCCGCTACCAATTTCGCAATGACGTAGTCACGGGTCTTCTTCGCAAGGTCAGGTCTGAAGACTGATCTCGGCAATCGGACGTCGCCGTCGTGGATGTCATGTTTCCGCCGCAAGTGAGAAGCCAGACTGCTGGTGCTCCCACCCTTGCATTTATACTGCTTGTCGCAAAGCTGACAATCAGCCACGTCGGATCCTTGCCTTCTGTTGAAATACTGCCACACCCAGCTTTTCGGGGTTTTTGGATTCGAGGAACTCATGTTAACTTCAAGTTTGGTTCACTACAGCCGCCGTGGTGATCGCTCAGCTTCGAAGATCGAGCGGAATGAAATTGCTCTGTTCTGATTCTCGTTGCCGATGTAGCACTAGCAGCTCATCATTCGTCGGCTTGACGCACTTCAATATCGCGTTGTGACATTCTATCAGCAGACAAGCATGTCTTGAACATCTTTGTGCGAGCGAAAAGAGTTGGTATTCTATCCCATCGCGGGAGGGAGAAGCGGCACTCGAGAATTAATATCGAATGAATCGAAATCGACCGAATCGCTCTCAGGAAGTGATTTCCGAACCCTTCACCAGGGATCGGAAAAAACTCTGGGTACGCCCCTGAGTGCACGATCCTGCGCTTCGGAGCCGGTTCCCGGAACAGGGCCACTTCAAAAGAGCGCTGACAGGGGCAGCCTGAAGCGCTGGGAAGCGGCCCCTCAAATTCCCCTTTTTCTGCGGAAACCGGTTTCTCAAACCGGTCCGTCGCAGAAAACCGGTCTCTCCGGTTTAGAACCGGTCCAGCGAAAACCGTTTTTTTGCGACTCCTAGTTGTGATGTGCTGACGTGGTGTTGAAATACAGACAGCTTTCAGTAGAGTAGCTGTAACATTCTCAGTGTGATTACGCAGGGTAGTGAGGCAATCTTGTGTGACCCAGATCGGAGGAACTCCTTTCTTCGATCTGGTAATGCAGACGATCCTGGTCTGAAGGACTCCCGTCTTCAGACCAGTGCTTATGCAAGTGATGCTTTCCACTAGGGTATATATACTGGTAATAAAGACTCGCACAAGCGAGGAGCTACTGATTCACAACGAATCCCTGTATCTTTATTCCGCCGTGATCTTCCAGGCTCACAGCTCACTTTCAGATCTAGTGTCCACCGACTGACCACCAGTGGGTTATATCCAACATTCGTTATTGCGCACGATCGAATCTGCGGACACTTGTGATTGAACTTAAGTTTTGTGAGTCTTTCTTAGTGAGTGACTCGTTTGTGTTCTTAGTGAAACAACGGTGCATCCTCGAGAAGTGCAAATGGCAACTCGAGTCAGACAACGAGCACAGGAAGATTCCACCAGCTCCCACGGCTATAGTGGCTTAGGCGATGACCAGCCCGGGCCATCAGCACTAAGCTTAGGCGACACTAAACCACCAAGGGGTGATGACGACACGGGAGACATCGGCGAGCTCCATATCGCGACACGAGCTCGCAGCCGTGACATTGTGATCCTGAGACTTGACGGCGGCAACTATACGGAGTGGCGTGTGCTTATCGCTCCAGCTCTGGATGCAGATCCATATGCACTGGAGGTGGCGATGGGAGATCTCATCCCTCCTGCCCCCGGATCAACGGACAAGGCCTCTGTGATCCAGCAACGGAAATACGATGCAGGTAACCGGGCGGCCCGATGTACGCTTTTCGCGTCACTGCAGCCTGCTCTGGCTGTATCCATGTTCCCCGGCAATTCGGCGACGGTGGCTGCCTCTGAGATGTGGAGAGACATTACCGGTCGGTTCACCGCCACTAACGGTGGGCTTAAACGACTGGCGATGTCCAAACTCTCGAGCTACACCTACCAACCGAATAAAACCGCCGGTGAGAATCTCTTCCGTTACAACCAGATCATTTCCCGCCTAGCTGGTCTAGGACTGGACATCCCGAATGATCTGAAGATCACATTCCTGCTGGACGCTCTCCCATCTAACTGGGAGTCCTTCAAACAAGGATTCACCTCGAGGGAGGAATCTGCCAAGTCCTTCTTCCACCTGCAGGCTGGGATTGAGAGTGAGGCTCTGAGGCAGGGGAAGTTCGAAACGAATGAGATAACAGCCTTGTCCTCCAAACTTCGTGGCCCCGGCCCTAGGGCTCACTACAAGAGTACACACCATCGTAACGGCCATGTCACCCGTACAACAACCAACACCACCGAAAGAACCTGTTACAACTGCGGTAAGAGCGAGCATATGATAGCTCAATGCAGTGCTCAAAAGCAGAACAGAAACTTCGGTCAGAACCGCCAATCTTCGGGTCAACAAGAACGGTCAGGAGAACGATTCAACTTCCGTAGACAGCAGAGCTCAACTAATGCCAACTTTAGTGAAGCTCTTTTGTGTGAGGCGTTCATCGGTAAAGCAGAAACACCGGAGTCGTATGGCATGGCTCCAGACACCGAGTGCAACAAAGACGGTGGGACCAACTTTCATATGACCAACGACAAGGATCATATGATCAGCTGCACTCCTTAGCCTCAGGCCAGACAGATCTGACTAGGTGATTCCGGGACCCTGAGCGCTCCAGGTTCCGGAGCAACCTGTGTGACATTCATGTCTAACGGGAAAGGTCAGACTGTTCAACTGAGAAGGGGTGCTGGATGTTCCGAGGTTTTGTTGTAATCTGTTATCCGTCTCCAAGCTCACAGATGATAGCTTCAAAACCTCGGAACATCCAGCACGTGGCTGTTCTCCTGTCGCATTGCGGCTCGTGGTTTCGCGTAACGGCGAAATGGCCCGAGCGAATTTCCGGAACCCAGGTTCATCTTGGTGAACATGGCTGTCACTTCTTTCGGATTCTCGGATTCGCGACGAGCTGATTCGGACAGGATGAGGTCAACTAAATTGTTGAAGGTCTTTTCAGTTCTTGGTTTCGGAAGCCAGAGAACATTTATCCAAGCCCAGTCAGGGGGTAACTTACTGATCAGAGTGATACATTGTGTCGGCTCCTTGATGTCAGCTTGAGACTCATCGAGTGCGCATTTTAATCTCTTGAACGCCGTGATGTTCTCCTGAATGCTTCTGTCCTCCCTCTACTGCCTCGAGAGGAAATTGGTGACAGCTACGAATTGTTGACTTTCTGTGGCAGCTCCGTAGGTCTCCTTGAGCTTTTCCCAGATAGATGCAGCCAAAGTATACTCTAAATTCTCATGGAACAGATCGAGAAGGATGTTACTATGGACCAAGATGATTAGCACATACTTGGCCGCCAGGTTTCCTCTGTTGTACAGTTCTTGCTTCTTCTTGGCTTCAGGGGTCCTTCCTATGTCACCGACTATTTTACCGTCAACGACTTCGCAAGCGTACGGTATAAGCTTCAGAGTAGTCGGCAGCAGAGATTTCCGTGATAGATTTCCATCGAGCTGTCTTCGTTGAGTGTCACCGAGCTGGTTTTGCCGCGGATGTCGCTGAGGTCTGGTGGCACTGACTCGCCGCTGGTATCAGGCTTGATATCTTCACCTCCGGGAGTGTCTCCACCGGCAGCAGCGGTTCCTCCTTCGGATAATCTTCCAGCAGTGGTCGATCCACCACTCGCACCGACATTGACGGACTCCCCACCTGTGGTCACGAAGGCCAGAAGTTCGACTTGTTGTCGGGTCATGGCGAAGCTACTGTATCACTGACTCACTCACTTGATGGGAGAGGTTGGTTGGTCTCAAGAGGTTGTCGAAGACGATGTTCTTGCTCGAAGGAACTCACGTCCTTCGTGCTGATAACGCTAAAGGATATTTGGCCGGTTTTTCCGAGCTTGGACCTTGAGTTCTCAGCGAGACTCGACCGATGAGATAGCACAATTGATTATCGCCACACTAGAATGAACACGACAGACGTGAAGTGGACCCAACAGGGAATTCTCCTCAAGTGATGGAGACTGTTATTGAACTAGCTTATATACTAGTCTACTACGGCTCCCGAGCCGGAAGGTCGACGGTTGATGCCATCCTAGAGGTGGTGCGCACGGCGGAAGAAGAGCGACAGAAAACTCGGAGAACGAAGCAATACTGTCTGGTAATCTTCGTCGATGTGCGGAACGCTTTCAACTCGATGCCGTGGGAAGTCGTGATGGAAGCCCTCTAGGAGGCCAAGGTCTCGCCCTACCTGAGAAGAATAATCGGCAGCTACCTCGAAAATCGGCAGATTATAACAGCCGCAGGAAAGAAATACCGGATGACAGCGGGCGTTCCTCAGGGGTCCATCCTAGGACCAACGCTATGGAACGTCGCGTACAACGGAGTGCTGCGGCTCGAACTCCCCGAAGGAGTGCGGACGGTGGCCTAAGCGGACGACCTGGCGATCGCAACGAAGGCAAAAAAAAGATGGGCAACTGAAGGAGAAGGCGAATATAGCGATGGAAGCGGTGGTTCGATGGATGGAGAAGCACAGCCTAGAGTTGGCCCCAGAGAAGACCGAGGCCGTGCTGCTTATCGGCAGGCGACCATGTGGGCCCCTCCCGGGACTCACACTCAGGGGGCACCCAATGGTTCCAGCTACGGAGGTTGAGTACCTTGAGGTGACGCTGGATCGCGGTCTCACCTTCGCCCCACATATCCAACACGCACTGGAGAAAGCCAAGAAGGCAGTCAAGGCCCTTGGTCAGATAATGCCAAGGACCTGCGGAGCTGGAGAGGGTAGGAGGCGCCTTCTGGCAACGGTTGCGACCTCAATCGTGACCCACGCCGCACCAGTCTGGGAAAAAGCTTTGAGGAGAGACCGAAATGTGGAGAGACTCGCCAGCGTCCAAAGGCTAATGGCCCTGAGAGTGTGCAGAGCGTACAGGACAGCGGGCTTGAGAGCAGTCCTCGCGCTTGCCCGCCAAGTGCCCCGGCACCTCGTGGTCACAGAGAGGAAGCTGAGATACGAAGACCGGAGGGAGCCGAACCCTGAACTCAAAAGGACGCGGAAGAAGAGGTCGGAGGAGACACTGGCGAGATGGCAGACGGAACGGGGGAGAGATACCGGCGAGAGCGGGTGGACCAAACGCCTGATCCCGGTCATCGGGGTCTGGCAAAACCGCAAGCACGGCCAAATATCGTACCACCTCACTCAATTGATGGTCGGGCATGGTTGCTTCCAGGAGTACCTCTGCAGATTCAAGAGGGCCGACAGCCCGGAGTGCCTTCTATGCACAACGGGTGCGTTCGACACCGTGAGACACACCCTCGAGGACTGCGACTTCTTCGCGCAGGAGCGCAGGAGGCTCCGAGACATGCTCGGGAGGGACTTCGCACTGGCCGAAATGGTGCCGACGATGTGGGGAGGGGGAGGGGCATGGGCAGCAATGGACAACTTTGTTGCCAGCGTGATAGGTGCAAAGGAGTCGCTGGAGAGAGTTAGGCGTAGAAACGCCGGGGAGGCTACGGGCGAAAGCCGGATCCTGCCACCAGCTGGAGCAGATGAAGGAAACAACGAGGACCGCTACCGGCCTCGACCAAGCACCAACAGGTAAAGGATCACCGCAGAAGTGCCGAGGGCCCCCCTGAAGCAATGTCTTAGCTGACGGACGGGGGGTCCTCGAAGAAAATAGTCCTCGAGATGAATATAAATAAAAATGTACATATAAGATCGAGGGCAAATGAACTAGCCGGCCGCAGGTGCGATACCGGCCCCCGTAAAAAAAAGAACTCATATACATACTAGTAGATAAACGTAGTCTGAAAGGGTTAGTCTGCACAAACTATCTAGTACGTGCTTTCGACATAATCGAATGCGTTTGAATACGATCGCGAGTGGCTGGTTACGGGCCGGGCCAATCTGCGATGACCTACTCCTATGGGATTGGGAAACTGTCAACTAGTCAAGAACGACCAGATTTTCCATCACCTCGATTCTGTATAGACTTTTTGCGAGGATTTCTGCAGGATCAGCAGGGAAATCCAGGATTGGATGGAAAACAATGAGCTTTTTGGTCAAAGGCAGCATAGCTTTCGGAGTGATCCCCGAGGAGAAGACTGCATATTCATACTCCTGTCTACCGTTGAGATTGCGAGGCGAGAGAGAAGCAGCCTACGTGCATGCTCTCTCGACTGTACAAAAGCTCAAGACCGGAGAGACAAAGCATGTACATGGGATGTGCAGGAACGTAAAGGGATGCCCAGGCAATACCTGGACATGATCAAACTCTTGTACACGGCCAACACAGTGAGGCCGAGACACGGCTCACATGAGTCAGATACCATCCTTACAGAGACGTGGCTTAGGCAAGGATGTCCGCTGAGCCCGATTCAATTCATTCTGTATATATCAGAATTGATAGAAAAACTATTCATTCTTGACTAGTTTACAGTTTCCCAAACCCATAGAAGTAGGCCATCGTAGATTGACCATGCCAGTAATCAGCAACCCGCTAATCGCGGACGTATTCAAACGCATTCGATTGTGTCGAAAGCACATACTAGATAGTTTGTACAGACTAACCCTTTCTGACCGCATGTATCTAGTAGTATATAAGCTAGTTCAATAAAGGTCTTCAGTACTTGAGGAGAATTCCCGTTCGGGTTTACTTCACGTCTGTTGTGTTCATTCTACTGTGGTGATCATCGTTTGTGCTATCTCATCATTCGAAGCCTCGCTCAGAACTCTACGTCCAAGCTCGAAAAACCGTCCAAATATCCTTCAGCGTTATCAGCACGAAGGACGTGAGTTCTTTCGAGCTAGAACATCGTCTTCGACTATCTCACAACATCCCAACTTATCTGTAACCGAAGCTTCGCCATGACCCAACAACAAGCCGAACCTCTGGCCCTGGTTACCACAGGTGAAGAGTTCGTCGATGTCGGTGCGAGTGGTGGATCGACCGCCGCTGGAGGATCATCCGGAGGAGGAACTGCTCCTACAGGTGGAGACACTCCTGAAGGAGGAGATGTCAAGCCAGATCCCAGCGACGAGACAGTGCCACCGAACCTCAGCGACATTCGTGGCAAAACCAGCTCGGTGATACTCAGCGAAGACGGCTCGAACTATCTTTCATGGAAAGCTCTGCTCCCGACTACGTTGAAACTTATACCGTACGCATGGGAAGTCGTAGACGGTAAAATAGTCGGAGACAAAGGAACGACCCCTGAAGCCAAGAAGAAGCAAGAACTGTACAACAGAGGAAACCTGGCGGCCAAGTATGTGCTAATCAATTCGATCCATGGTAACATTCTCCTAAATCTGTTCTATGAGAATCTGGAGTATACTTCGGCCGCATCCATCTGGAAAAAGCTCAAGGAGACTTACGGAGCTGCTACTGAAAGTCAACAATTCGTGGCAGTTACAAATTTCCTCTCGTGGCAGTACAGGAAGGACAGAAGTATTCAGGAAAACATCACGGCGTTCAAGAGATTGAAATACGCACTCGATGAGTCTCAAGCTGACATCAAAGAACCGATACAATGTATCACTTTGATTAACAAGTTACCCCCAAACTGGGCTTTGATGAACGTACTTTGGCTTCCGAAACCAAAAACAGAAAAGACCTTCAACAATTTAGTTGACCTCATCCTGACAGAAGCAGCTCGTCGCGAATCCGAGAATCCAGAAGAAGTAACAGCCATGTTCACCAAGATGAACCTGCGATCCGGGAACCAGCGTAGGCCGTTTCGTCGATACACGAAACCCCGAGCCGCGACGCATCAGGAGAACAGCTATGTCAGCACATCACAACAGAGCTCCTCAAAGTCATCAAGGGTTACGACTACTTGCAGGATATGCAAGAAACCGGGACATATAGCAAGGAATTGCTACGCCAGGAAACAAAATCCTAGGAGAAGCACTACGGCCAATGTAGCCGAATGCTATTGCGCTCTGGCGGAGAAGAATGGAGATCATGACTCCGTCTTCTTGAGGGAGGGTCGAGAATGGGTTCTCGACAGCGGTGCTACTCACCACATAGTTAATAACCGCAAATGGTTCTCGAACTTCAAGAACGAGGAGGACATCCGGAATGTTAGGCTTGGCGGTGCCAGAACTCTCCAGGTTAGAGGCACTGGTGACGTCACCCTAACAGTTCTCCGCGGGAAAACAAGTTCCACCATCACTCTCTGTAATGTACTCTACGTCCCGAGCATGGGAAGGCGATTGATTTCGCTCAGTAAACTGGCCAGTGGGAACTTCGATATAAAAGTTTTACCCCATGCTATCATTATGAAAAAGGATGACAGGTCCCTAGTCGCGGAACTCAAGAATGGACTATATGTCATCGACGCTCTACCGGCAAGCCCAGCGGAGAGCATGCAAACTGAATCGGTGATAGATTCAGTATCTCTTCGGTCAGCGCACGAAACCTTAGCCCACGTGGGAATCGACAAGGTAAAAAGGATCCTTAATCAGATGAACATTAACTATGTTAATGACTTCAGCTCGTGCGAGGCTTGCATCCGCGGCAAGCAAACCAGGCATTCGGATTCACCGAAATCACCTGGGTCAGTCGCTAAATTCACCGGAATCATACATGGGGATCTCGTGGACATCGGGATCCGATCCCTAGGAA